CCGACCACCCCCCACCAGCCCTGCTCCTTTTAGCTCACACTCCCCATCAAGTGTGTCCAGTATTTTTTCTGAAGCTACCTGGTAACCCTACACTGGAATAATAGCAACACTTTGCACTTATGACATCTTCCCATCTCAGAGCTCAAGGCTCTTTACAAAAATTAAGCTCATCCACCCAACATCTCTGTAAGGATAATACCTGCAGCTGTTCAAATTCTGGGAGGGAGGAGGAGGAGCAGGAACAGAGCATGAATCAGCAGATTCATGGCTCTCTGAAAGTGCTGGGAGAGAGGGGAGGAGTAGGAAGTGTGGGGCTCCAGTGTCCCAGTGCACAGAGGCATGGGGGAAGAGCCAGAGAGGGGGGTTGCAGGTATCAGCCTGTAGTATCAAATCGATTGAGGTCCTCAGCACCTCATAGGATGCATTCATTCTCTTGCAAGATCGTGTTCTAAAACATATATCAGTCTGAATTGCTAATGATGCTCCAACTGTCCAGGGACTCTGACCCTTGTCATATCTGTGTGGACATTTTGCTACAGTGATATTATGCAGCCTAGCCAAACAAAACAAATATTATACTTCAATATGTAATGTAGCCATCCAAAACTACGGCAAGCCTGTATGATGTCCTGCTTATCTAGTTGAAACACTTTTCCTGTGTGTCAATCAGGAAAAACAAATGCAGTTAGAACAATACCCCGTTATTACGTTTCCAAAAATAACTTTGAAACTGTAGCCTTATGTAGACGAGAGCAGGTGGATTGTAAGATTAAGGGGGCACTTGCGTATCATCTGTCCAATTCAGCCCAGACTTTCAATCGAATCTCATTGCGCTGAATTTCCTGTCCTACAACAAATACAGTTTTAGAAGGGCCTTAAATAATAATCCCCTCAAACACACTTGATTTGCCGAATTAGGTCTCACAAAAGGTCACTACAGTACATACGGCTCTCTGCTCTGGGAAAAGCAATGCTATAATGAAAGGCAAAATATTTCTGGCTTCACCACCCTGGCACAAAGAAAGACGTACACGGTCTGTTTCTGCAATCCTTTAAGGGTCTGATCCAAAGTCTGTGCGTCAGTGGGAATTTTTTCACTGACTTCAAGTCAGATTCCGGAAACATGCAGTTTTATAAAACTGCAAGGGCTCTATGCCAAGTAACTGATCTCTTCTTTAGTATGAAGGCTATTTGGCTTTTTGATGAAAGAAAGACCACCAAGAGGGAGCATGAGCTAATGGTTATAGCATTGAGCTGAGAATCAGAACTTCTAGGCTGTGTTCCCAGCTGTGCCATTGTCCATCTATATGTAACCTTACACCAATTACTCAATCTCTCTGTTTACTCAGCTGAAAAACGGAGATAAAACTGACCTGCTGTACCTCATGTGATAAAATTAAGTAAGATTTGTGAAGTACTTTGAGATTCTCAGAAGTGAGGTTCTATAAACAGGCAAACTGTCTCTGGAGAGGGGGAGGACAATCACAGATAAAAACTAAAAAATAGGTGGGGGGGGGGAAGAGGGGGAAAAAATGGGACTTGCACCACAAAAGCCAAATGGTGAGGAAAAAAAAAAAGACACTAACCAGTGTACAGCTTGACATTTACAAATAGATATTCCCTAATACAAAGGAGATGGAAGGAAATCCTCTCTGATGGAGTGTTTGACAAGCCAGCAGGAAGCACCTTAACCTAGTGTCTCTGGAATTTCAGTGCTGCCAAAGCAAGGGTGGATAGTCACCAGCTGTAAGAAGGATCCTTGCTGGCCTCAGAATCTGTGAGGAGGAAGTGGGGAGTGTCCACAATTTGGAGGGAATCCGATGGCATTCGAACAGAAACGAAGCGTGATAATAATGCTTCAACATGTGTTGGTTTAGGGGCAGGATGGGGTGGAGGCTACAATACAGATGTGTAGAAGTTGTATCATAGGAGGTTGGCTGGGCCATTATTGAGACAGGAAAAAAAAGAAGCAATACCCTGAAGTATATAATAGGCCTCAGTTTCGGAAAAAGTGAGCCTCTGCATGTACATTCTGGACCCCCAATGAGAGGGTTGGGGAGGCAAAGGGGCCAAATACCCCAGGGCCCAGTGATTCAAAAGGGCCTCAGGTTCCCAGCTGCTGCTGCTGCTACTGCAACGGTGGTGGCGGCCAGAGCTCTGGCCCCTTTAGATCACCGCCTGAGCCACAGGCAGTGTGCTCCAGGCAGCACTGAGGGCTGACCGGCCCCCACTCCTCCCCTTCCACCGGGGGTCCTGCCACTTCCGACAGCCTCTATGGGTCACTAGGCAAAGGTGGAGTCCACACTCCCGGGAGGGGCAGGGCCAGGGGCAGCTGGCCCTCTACGGTGTCTAGAGTGCAGTATGTCCCCCCACCTCACTGTGTGGTGCTCTGGTGGAAATGTAAAGGGCTTCAGGCTCCAGCTGCGACAGTAGCAGCAGCAGCGTCCGGGAGCCAGGCTCTGGGGCAACTGCCCCCCTTTGCCCTCCCCCATTGGCAGGCCGGCCCCCACCTTGCCCAGGGGCCTGGCAAGTCTGTAGGCCCCACTGTATAAATTCCAGCCTGGAAGGACAAATTTGGGCTTGTGCTAGCACTCTAAAAAGATACACACCACTTTCAACTGCAGGTTGGCTTGGGCTTGGGATTTGAAGCCCACAGAGAGGAGTGAGAATCAACCCCGGCCCATCAAACCGTGAACAAGGTAAATATTAGCAACTGGAAACAGCCTTGATTCAGAACACACAACCCATCCCCCTCCACGCATTTGGGGCATGTTCAAAACCAGAATCAGATCTCCAGCAGCCCTTGGCAGATACAACATGAATAGATTAATAGAACAGATGTACCAGTTGTTCATCACACCACACTGTGGATCATGATTACTCTGTCGGGACTCACAAAGACGCTGTGAAATTTTGCAGCACTTAAATTCACTTAGCTGCTACGTGGGATGTATCCATAGGACCTCACTTTTTTCTATACACTATACTATCTAACTTCTCTAGATACAGATGTTTCCAAACTTCCTTCCTGAGTTTAATTTTTCACTAAGCTTACTTACCATTATTGGCTTTTCTGATGTCACTATATACTGTATCAGTCCCCTTCTTTACAGGAGCTGGAAAATGGATTGGCACAGAATCAATTTATTTCCCTTTTTTGTTTGCTTGATGTAAAGCTCCTTACAGTAACAGAACACACTGTTTTACTTTCAGAGGAACCCGTTATATAAACAGCAGTGCGCCATTCCACGTCTGGATGAAAAAAGCAGCTATGCCCCCCCAGTTCCCACCCTGTGTCTATGGTTAGAGACATGGGCTCTATCTAGTTAATGCTGCAATTAGCATCCCATTATACATTTGATTGGCCCTCTACCACGCATAAGTTTCCCCAGCATTAAACCGATCCTCAGATTTGGCAAAGAATATCTTCCCCTGGGGTAGAGCTTTCCCTTCAATAGTTTAGTAGAAAACTGGACAAAGCTGTTTTAAGTGACACGAGGGCTCACAAAATGAGCTCTGTATTCTAAAAATTGCTCACGCACTCTGTGTGCCTTCCAGCTCCAGCTTCCTTTCATGGAGCTGCTCTAGTTGTGTGGAAAGGCTCAAGGGAACAATCTCACACTCAGCACTATAGGGTTCGGGATCAATGAGATTTTTGCAAAAGGAGATCTCCCGGTTCATGGTGATGGAATGTGACTATGCAAGAAGTCCATGGGTGTAGGGCATGAGCTAAAGACAATGGAAAGGAAGTCTGAGATGGTATGGATGAATAGGAGAGATAGGGGAAAAAAGGACAGAGATTAAAGCCTCAACATTTAATGCTGCTGGGTTTCCTCCTCCAAAATGCTACAGCTGTCCTTTCCCACACAAACTTCATACAGCTGGGGCAGAATAATCCCCAGTCAAGCTTTCCTCCTGGCTTAGAGGTTCCATTTTTATCTATGACGACAAGCTTCATTGCACCACAACCCCTTTCTGGCAACAAAAATTACTTCACAGCCCCAGGAGGGGGGAAACTGAAGCTTGAGTCTGCTTAAACCCCACTTCTCCAGGTGGTGGTGGTGGTGGAAAAGCCCCAAGACTTATTAACCCTAACCTTAAGGGGCCTGCAATCTGAGTCCTGCCACCGAGGGCGGAAGCCTTCAGGCTTTGACTTCAGCCCTGGGCAATGGGATGTGGGCTTCGGCCCTGGGTGTCAACAAATCTAAGCCAGACCTGGCATCCCCACTCAAAGGAGGTCATGACCCATGTTGAGGTCTCAACCCAGAGTTTGAGAATCTCTCTACTATGCAAAGAGCTTTTATTTGTGGGGGGAGGAGAGGAGGGAGAAGATGAGAGGGGATCCAAAAATGCCCAAATGGGAAGAATGACTTTTCCTGTCCAATGCTTGTGTGGAATCATTTTTGGCACAGATGAGGCCAGCTGCCCGCAGAGCTCAGGCTCTGGCCGTTGTCATGAGCTCCTGCAGCAATGCAGCTGTGGCTAACCTGCGACTCTAACATGGTTCTCAAGAAAAACAAAAACAAAACCCTGGGGAGCTGGGCTAGAATCATTCCTAGCACGGTTCTGCTCCTCGTATGGACAAAGCCTTTAGCTTTAGGAGGATTTCTGAGAATCCCAGAACGTGCACAGGCAGGTTCTTCTGGCATCAGTGGGAGTTTTGGCAGCTCAAGAATGGCAGGGCTTCCATTCCTTCATCTCCCCGGAGTTCTCTTAATCTTCCCCACCGGAAGGATGGCTACCTTGCAGCATCACAGCAGGTGTGCTGCTCAAGGATGACATTTCGGGGGGAGAGGAGGGCAGCAGCCGTACATATCAGGATGTGGTATGGAGTCAGAGAGCGAGGGGAAAGTACTTACATTTTGCGATGCTTCTTATTCCTGGCTCGGGAAGGGAGGGGGCAGAGGAATAAATCACAGAATCCAACTATTTTCCCTTTGCTCACTCACTTTTCTTCCTGTTCCCCTGACTGTAAGTTGCATCACACTATGTGCACCTATTGTTCCCCCCTGCTCTCTCGAAATGGCATCCTTGGCTGCTGCTGTAGGGTAGATGCTTCCTACATCAGCTGAAGAGGTTTTTCTGTTGCTATAGTTAACCCATCTTTCTGGGAAGCTGTAGTTATTCTGGTGGAAGAATTCTTCCATTGGCCTATCTGCAGTGGGGAGGGGGCAGGAGGGAAGGTTGGTTGTTCTAACCATGTTGCACAGAGCATGAAATTTCTCACATCCCTGAGCGATGTAGTGAGGTTCACCTACGTTTTAGGTGTAGATCAGGTCTGAGTTATTTTATTAGGTACCAGGTTTATAAGGCATGGCCAAATTGCAGCAGGCTGATAATCCAACAAGGAATGGGTGCAAGAAAGTAGCATTTGGATGCCGGCGCTGAATTAAGCTTAGCTGGGGATACAGGGTTGGTTGAGAGGCAGTGTGGCCCAGTGGATAAAGGACTGGACTGAGCTACGAAACTTGGTTCTATTCCCAGTTCTGCCATCGGCCTGCTGGGTGACTTTGGGCTAGGCATGTCACATCTCTGTGCCTCAGGTTCCTCCTATGTAAATTAAATTATAGTGTGCTGAAGCACTCTAAGATCTACTGCTGCAAAGCATCATATAAGGGCTAGATATCATTATTAAAAGCTGTCTCAGATGGGTGTAAGTGTGATTACTCTCTGGTTTTGTGAGATGTTAGCTCAAAATGGGGAAAAAGACTCATAAGATTGCTTCTTCCCCTTTGATACCAGCCAAACCAAAAGATAAGCAATTTCTTACTTTTCAGTATTAAGCAAAAAGCTATGATAGAGCCCTGAGGTAAAGTGCTTATCAACTCTGGGTCACAAACTAGCTGAACAATGTTCAAAATAGTTCAAAGTCACCTCACTGTAATTATAGTTTGTCCAATTCCTGTGGGTGTGACAAAAGAACCTAGAAGGAGGTTTGTTAACATGGTTTGGCCTGTGTCTGCAGACAAAGTAGTGGAAGCAATTTAGATGAACTATGTCTCGAGTGAACTTCGATAGCTCCTAATTCTGCCTAAAGACCAATGGAAGCTGGGCCTGTCTACACATTTTAAAAACATTAGTTAAGGAACTCAACATTCTGAGATTGGTTATCTCCACTTTTCCTTTGGTGAGATGGTTAAGTGATTTCACCAAGGTCATTCAAGAAATATGTTGCAGAACTGAAAGGTGTCTTAACTCTTAATCCTGTATTTTAGACACAAAACCATTAAAACCTATAAACTGGGGTACTCCTATATTTGTTGTACATTCAAACTGAGAATCAGGGTTTCAGTGGCAGCAGGATGCAAGTTTCAGCAAGCACTTAACAGGAATATTGATTTGTTATGAATTTTCATGCTATAACAGCCTCTGGATTTCACATGCTTTTGGATTTTTGTTAACTTAACTTATATGGCCAGGGAAGTCAAAAGAAGTCTTCCCACAATTCTGACCAAATTTGGAATTAACACCTTTAGTATATTACAAGCCTGGGTCATCTCCCATTGATTCAATCAAATGATTACCAAAGGGAGCTGGATCCTTTTTGATTATTTGATTATTATTTTGATTTTATGCCAGTGTGTGTCTACATATAGTTAACCTTTTATAAGTTGTTCTTTTCCTAGCCCTGAGTAAAAGTGCTAGCAGAAAGGACTGAAAAATAATGACATTTAGTTCCAAATGACCTTATAATGCTGCACCCTGCAAATGATCAGCCAGCTATAGAAGTAAAAGGAGGGGCATTTTCTTACTCAGCCACCCTTGGCAGTTTCTCCCTTCCCCTTTTAGGGATATTTCTTGACAATGCTTTAGCTTTGGTCTTTGATTTCCTTGTATTAACAATAAAGGGCCTGACTCACTGCACACACACAATTAGCTTAGAAAAGATATGGAACATTTTTTTGTTAAGCACAGTCTCTCCTTAAAGATTTATTACACCACTCCTCATCACCAGCACCTCTTTAAATATCAAATCACCAAACAATTCTAACCTCCAACAGATAAAACTGTACTCAGCAGCTAGCTAGCCACTTTCATTAGAGGATCGCACTGCTACTCACAAAGGGGGGTATCGAATTATCCCAAATGTACAGCTGGAGAAAAATAAGGCAGTGAAGCCTTGTCTACATTAGTTTTTTTTTCTGGCAGATTTACCACCCTTAATACTCCTGGTGCTGCTTTTCTGTGAGCGATGGTGAAAGGGAAATCTGGTACAGAAATGGTTCCGATAGCCACCGCACATTTACCACCCTAAGGTGGTCAAGAATATTCACAAGCCTAGAAAAGAGATCAGTCAAAGATTTGGCTTGAGGGAAAAGGACAAAATGTTAATAGCTCTTTAATGCTCATTGACAGCATTCTATAATTGGATTTCTAGGAGGATGAGGTGGGGGGGATGTTTATTTAATCCTTATCCTCAAAACTGCCCCAAATGTTACTATTATGCATTAATTATTGATTCTGTTCCTCTTGAGGTCAGCAGGAGTTATGATCCTGACTTCCCTGGCTATAGGAAGAGACTTTTGTATAATTAGATATAGTAATTTAGGCCTTGCCTACACTACTGCAGGCCATCAACTTAAATCACACAAATTCAGCTTCATGAATAATGTTGCTGACGTCAACATACTTAGGTCTGGTTACTGCAGTATTTTCACTGCGATACATCGACAGCTGACACTCTCCCATTGACGCTGCTAACTCTTCTTGTTTTAGTGGCGTACTGGTGTCAATGGAAGAGCATTTGGCGGTCAATTTATCATGTCTGTACTAGATGTGATAAAGTGACCCCTGCTGGATCGATCGCCGCCTGTCTATCCTGCTTGTCGTGAAGACGCCCTTAGGGCCTGATCCTGAGTGATTGAAGAATACCTGAGCTCCCATCGAAGGCAATGAGAATTGAACGTATTCGGGGCGGCCCGTCCATATAGGCAAACTAGGCGGTCGCCTAGGGCGCCAAGCTAAATGGGGTGCCAAATGGTGGCGCAATATCATTGAGGGGGTTTGGAGGGGGGGGTGCCGATTGCATGGTTCGCCTAGGGCGCCAGTTGCTGGCAGCTAGTCTAGGGCCTGAATGTATTCATCATCTTGCAGGGTCGGGGACTTCATTTTTGTT